TCATATAAGAAAAAAAGTTTGAAATTAACTCCCATCCGTCAAAGTTTGTCATAAAACTTGTAGAACAACTTATTTAAATAATTTTTATATACACAATAACATTAACCTATTAATATAAAATATTAAACGAACATTAATCAAATACATAAATTTATTATTGCACCAAACCAAAAACCGACTAATTTGAATTCTTGAAAATTAAAGGGGGTTTTTTAAAGGACTTTTTATTGTCCACAGCTGTACCAAGAGTGTTGGATCCACTCCGATAGGGGTTTTTTAATATTCCGCGATTCTATTTACCACTACGAAAAATATATAAAATACTTTTGGACTATATGTGTATTATTATATCACAAATATTATTTATAGATACTAATTTCATTTGTTCGTGCGTCATTATTTCCAATACTCCCCACATTAATCGACCAATTTCACCGTCTCCCTCAACAATTGCTAAAATTATTTAATCAGCCCATCCTTTAAAAATTACAATTGATTTAACAACAATCTCATCTTAATTTTCGTCCTAGTTGTTTAGCAGACCTTACTGCTGACGAATCTCAGGAACCTTGTGGTATGGGAAAGTTCCCCGTCTTGTGATTCATTTAAACAAGTTTACCAAATGTGTAATAAAACAAACGTTAATCGCGTTCCAGTTTCGCAGAATATTTGCCGGTGTTAACAGTAGATAGTATTTTAGTAGATACAAAAACATACGAAAAGTGTTTTTAGTGGTAAGTGACGCTAATACAAGTAATGAGAAAAATAAATAGTACATTTACTTAATTATTAGAAAGGCTATGTTAGTAGAAAAGAATCTAACAAGAAATGCATTGAAATTATTATGTAGGTACATACAAATGTAATTTTCGTCATGCATGTTCTACATCTCAAAAATTTTTTAATGACTTGAAGATTCATATTGTTTATTATACAATGTATTATATTATGTTTTATCATATTCCTTTATATGTAAAGTAAAATACCAGAGTAGGTATTCCTAAATAACGCTTATTTAAAATAACATATTTCTAAATGCGAACAGTGAGGGAAAAAAACATTGGAATTTTCCTATTTCTAATTTTAAGACATTGTAGCACCTAAAAAATATGTATACCTATTTTATCCAAAAAATGGGAAAATTCACTTCTGATAAAGAGTGTGCGTTATTGTTTATGGTTTTATTTATTTTACTTTCTAACGATTTTCTCTGATTACATTGTACTTATTATCTCTCCTAATTGCCTTCTTAAAAATTGATAAAGTTATTTAAATTAAGTAAAGTGATATCTTTTCCTTGGGTAGCGTCCTCAAAGCAGACCTATAAATTGCTTTATTCATTTATTTTAATGGAATTAAATGCCAAAGAAGTCTGATGTCCACCATCCATAAAATATTCAGTTCAATCGATATCTAACATCTGATTAATGAAACTCAATATTTCGTTAGGTAGGTACTACCCAACTAGTGCCATTATAAATGAAAGAACTTTTGAATAATTCTGAATATTAAGCTTTAGAAAAATCGAAATAATTTTAATATACAGTGCGTTTCATTTCAAATGAATACAGAAAAATGAGAGTAATATTCCATAAGAAAGATAGACAAAAAACTGATATTTAAAGGTTAAGGTGTCTTAGCATATTTTTTATTCTTTTATAATAGCTGTTTTACATTGACAATTTATTGATGAATAAGTTCTTCATGAATTAATTCACGAATTTATTGGTAGTGTGGCTTTACACTGCTACAGACTTTTTGACGCATGAATCAGTTCTACCAACGAATCAAAGAAGCAAATAAATTTCAAAAATGTCACCTTTCCACTTGTAGTGATACAACAGCGGTATCGTTTTGACACATATTAAATAAATATTAGTTTTTGTAAGTAACAAATCAGTAAAAACAATGCAAAACTAGTACGACGCCACACAATTATTTAGATATTCCAATGACATAACCTCATTACTGATCTGAGGGTGGAAATCTGTTGGGTTGGTACTTCCGAACTTCACGAAGAAATTGACGAAATTAGAACACGCTTGAACAGATTTGGTGCATGACACTTGTCCAATTTCTTGATGAAGCGACTTCATGATCAATAAATTGTCGATGTAAAACAGCTATAATCAATATAAATTCAAAATATTTTTTCTACAAAATCTTCAAAATCATATGAAGTCAAACAATGTTCAACTATATCAGAAAAGGCATACAAAAAATATCGAACCCCACAGACGTAAGTGTTGATATTCATGGGCGTAGCTAGGGTTTTTTCTTGGGGTGGGCCGAGGGCTATTGCAAGATCTAATTGTAAGCAAGCCTCAAAATTAAAAAAAAACAAAAAAAACGTAATCAACGACTTATAGATAATATAATATTTCAAAACCAGTGACTTACTAGTATGAGAAAGATGATCTTTTTCTTCTGGGATGGTCACCGCACTTTCTGGGGTGGCCCGTGCACACCCCTACCCTCTCTAGCTACGTATATCGCGGAAAACAACATGCCCAACTAGCATTTAATTACACCAACAATAGCTAGTAACAAATAGTTATCCAAAATAAAAACTAACAATGAAGAACAAAATTACATATAAATATCCAACTTTTAGACATTTTGAACATAACATAACTGACATTTTTTGAGAGTTAATAATAATGTTTTTAAAAAATTCCTTGGCTTGCCTATTTAAGTTAAATGAAGATATGATATTTATCATTCTTGTAACACAAAACAAAAATTATTTATTACAGCAAAGAGACTAATTGTGCGTGTGGCGCTTATTTATTTATTTTTTTTCATTATACTACTGTTTTTTTTATTTTACTGTAGTAATATATCATAATAATATATGTGGGCCAAATATTGTATTATATAAAAATGTTATAAAGTGTGGAATGAAAGTGTTTTCTACGTATATTAAATTAGACCCTCTAAACAACTAACAAACAAAATAACTGTATAAAAGGATGAGTAATGAGTTTCTTTGATATTTTTAGTTATAGAAATTATTAGGTAGGTACACTGGTCAATTACCATTTTCAACAAAAAAATGTATAGGCTTCTAAATAGTGGAATACCTATAATTCCAAATTTAGCTGATCGATTTTAATGAATCGAATAATAACTTACCCAATTCACAGAAACAATGACTGTCTCGCCAGTAGGTAAATAAATAATAAAGATCAATACTTTTTTATTTACTTAGAATAAAATGTCAATTCAATTTAGGTGCGAGTCTATAGTTAGTTTGTAATTTTGAATATTTAAAATAAAATTCAATCAAAATCAAAAATGGGAATTTATTAATTTAATTTTTTGATAGAGCTATCAGTTGTCTTTAATAGTTTTAAAATTTAAAACGATATATTATTATAAAAACTGAAACACCATTTATAGAGTTATTATTAATTAAAATTTGAAGGTTTACTGACATAAAGTGTTACGTTTTCAATTATTTTCATATTGGCAAAGTTGGAAAGAAAAATATGTTATTAAAAAATTTTTAGATTTCCCACTACAAGTTTTTCCACATTCTGTATACATAAACGCCTGCATATTTCATTAGAAATTGAAATTAAAAATTATTGACACAGATTAGCAAATATTCTAGTAATCTCTATATTTATCTCGTTGTGAATCATAAAAAAAAGAAAAACAAGGGAAGAAACAATATTTACCATGTTCACACATTGCACCTATAATTCGTATATCAAACTAATACAAAGATAAACGATAACAATTTTATTGATTTTTTTTATTTTGTAACATTCGTAACAGCGTATCGTTTAGGTTCAGTAATAATAACTCAACAGATATATTTTAGGTGCGTATTTTTTATTGTTTTTAACAATTAGGTAGTTATCAAAATACTTTTTGGGCATACTTTACAATATCCACTGTAAAAGGGGAGAGTGCTATAATTTTATATTAAAAAATCATTGCAAGAATGTAACTTAAATGGGACGAAATATCGTCCTTACTTTGTCATATACCTAGAACATTTTTTGCATTTTAATTTATCCTCAAAATCCGGTGTTTTACCGGTACCTATTTCAGAATACCTCCGGTATTTGGCCTATATTTAGGAAAGGAGACATAAATGAAATGGAAAATGATGGTCCTGTTATTTCAATTTCTCGTAGTCAAATTACAAAATAGATTTGTTTACAGTCGTTCTACGGTTACCAATCTTTGCTGTATCATACAGTATATTTCAAAGTTTATGGATGCTAGTCTACAGGTTGATGTCGCCTATAGTGAGACATTTGATAAGCTAGATCATGGCATGCTTTTATTAACAAGCTAAATCAATTTGATATACATATTAACAACTTTACTTATCTTTTTTAACTCTTATCTGTATGGAAAAAAACAGTATGTATGTTGAATTGCGTGGATTTTACATCTTGAACACCTGATGTTCCTCAGGGTTCGATACTGGGCGCTCTTATGTTTATAATTTTTATTAATGATATTATCGTTGACCTTGATTGGGCATTGTTTGCTATTTGCAGATGATATAAAACTTTATTGGCGAATAGCTGTATGATGATTATATCAGAATTGAGAACAACTTGAATAAAATCCAAGAATGGTGCCCCAACAATAAACTAAATGTTGATAAGTGTCATATTGTTTCCTATCATCGAAGGAGTGATGACCTTACATTTGATTATAAACTAAATGAATCGACTTCTACTCTTCCCGAATACTTTCGTGATCTCGTGTGACCTTTGATCATAAATTAACATTTGCTGAGCATGTTAAAAAGGTAGTTTCGTCGGTTTCCAAGAATTAAGGTTTTGTCATACGAAAATCGCGCGGCTTCGCTGAGCAGCATGTTTTATTTACTTTTTTTAAATCATTTATAAAGTCTAAAGTCGAATATGTTAGTTCAATTTAGGATACAGGATAAAAAGCTGCAATCAATTATTCTTTCTGATATTTTCTTTGTTTTTTCGCTGGTAATGATTTTAAGAGTTATTTTTTGCAGTATGTTTAGACCCCAAAGCGCGACGTCTCGCCAGGAATCTGAGATGGCGGCCAAGAGCCTCCGGGAGCTCCAAGCCGCTGGAAACTCTGCCGACCCGGTGCAGCGTCTCCGACTCCTCTGCCTTTCTCGCGGAGCCACGGGCATCCTTGGTCTCGGGAGGCTATTCAGGAGAATGGACGAAGACGGCAACAAGAAATTGAATCTGGAGGAATTTATATTAGGTTTGAGAGAAATCGGCTTGGAAATCACGGACGACGAGGCGAAGGATATGTTCCAAAAATTTGATACCGATGGGAGCGGTAGCGTTAACATGGACGAATTTTTGGTACACATTAGGGTGAGTTGAATAAATCTTAACATCATTTTAAGAAGATATATCGGGTTTACTCAAATACACAGATGTACTTGAAATGTATGTAGCGTATTACCCAGTGCTCCCTCTGTGCGTCATATTTTTTTGAAATTTTTTTTGAATCTAGATTTTGAGATATTATTGAAAGTTGTTCATTTTAAGGTTTATATGGCGAAGATGGACGGTGCGGCTCTTTTTTGCCCATAACTGAGAAAAAAATGTAGAAATTGTGAAAAAAAACTTTTCCATACACAGTATTATCTTATTTTTGATGTAAAACTAATGTAAGTTTTGAACATAGTACAGCTGTATTAATTAGAAACAGAAACCAATAATTGCATTTTTGTCTGACTTGAGGATTAATGTGGCAACGTCGTAATCAGCTGACGGCAAGGAGGGAATACATTTGAGACTTAATAAAAATGAAATTGATTTTAAACATATACATTTTTTCTAAATCCCATGTACATTGTTATCAACAATAAATTATCCACAACAGATTATTTTTTGTAATGTTTTTAAAAAACTAAATTAATTAAAAAAGGCTAGAAAGCTGTTATATATTTATTGGAATAAAATATACAGTTGATAAATCCTTTTAGTATATTTAATTGTTTATAAAAACATCGTAATCCGTACCCAGCAATATTTAGGGTTACATAAAATTTTCTTTACTTGAATAATATAATTAGTAATACTTGAGATAAAAGCATTTGTACACAATACAAAGGAACATAAATATTTCTCAGCAAACTTTATATCTAAAAAATTTGTTATAGTTGCAAAATTTTTGTAACATTACTAAAATAGAGATGAAAAACACGAACAGTGAGTAATAATGTAATTTCTATCACAGAACCTTCAAAATTGCATCCAACATTTTATTTGACTTGGGCGAGTGTCATTTCATTTCTTTAGAACTAAATTAACATTATTTTCTCGTTGTTTTACCAGTTCACATGTTTTACGGATTTTAAATAAAGGATACAAATCTTCGCGAGGATAATACGATATATTTGCTATATATAATAATTATATTTTACATAGTTTACACACAATACATTTTTGAACGCGTACGCATCTTTACCCGAATTTGACGCGCAATATCTCCGATGTCCGAGGTTTGTAGGTTCGCAGTGTGTGCAACTGCACTCGATTATTAGCGCTGTTGCCATATCTATATAGTCTTTATGCGTTCATTAAATATAATTTAAAACTACTTAAATATGATATTTTTATGTTGTTAATTAGTCAATATGTACGCTATGTACATATGAGGAGATTTATTTGCTATATAATGTTTATCGCAAATAATTTCAATAGAATTTAATTTTTTCAAATTGGCAGCGAACTTTTGTCTCATAAGAAAAGCATAGGACCTAGGATCCCCCCTGCACTCCTCACTTCCCTCGGACCCCGATATACCTCCTTAAAAACATGGTTTATTGTAATTCAGAAGAACATAATTTTAAAATGTCATATTTACTTTAAAAATACTTACGAGTGTTATTTTGTTTGTGAAAATTATCATTGTGAAGACTGTCTCAAATGTAAATTTTATAATTCTGAAAATAGACTAGTTCTGCCCTCAAGCTCCAATGTAACAGGCTCCATTAAGTAAACGGTCAGACCCAAGACCTCTAAATAACGATCTTCAGTCTCGAATAATTTCAAATTTTGCTCCACTTTCCAACATGAGCCATGAAGCCGTCTCCGGCACATCTACGCGATGCCGACCCCGGCAAAAGTAGATACCAATGTTCGAGGGAGGCGTGACTACCCTCCACATGAAGTAGAAAGCGCGGAGCGGAAGCAGTTTTCACTTGAGTGTTGAAAATTCTCAAAGGAACCTTCCACGGAGCTCCTAGCTGCCTTCAATTACGAAAGCCGTAGCAGACGATATCGACGGAGGTCGATACTAGTTGCAAAGCGACTGCCGACGACGTGCCGAAAAACCGTCTCAGTTTCGAATTTTAGGCAATGAAAAGTTTCCTAAATACGTTGAAATTCGGACTGAGGTAGAGCAATGCAAATACGAACCATCATCATATCAAACTACACAAACCCGTATGAGTTGAGTAGAATCCAAAGTTGCGCAAAATCCGGAGAAGCCAAATATCCAAATCAAAAGCGGAGATCCATGTAGAAACTATGCGGGGTAATCATACGAGGTGTTCGAATGTCGACTCTAATACTTTACAACTTATACTAGCCAGTAATTTTATATTTGTATTATACAAAATCATTTGTAAATCAAATACTTACTCATTTATTATTAATAGAATTTCAGTAAATCTAAAATTTTACAATTTAAAACATTGTTAAAATGTTCAAATCTCTTTGCGAGTAGGTATTCTAGTGTAGTACTTATTGCTACAAAAGAAAATATGCAAAATTGTGTTGGAAAAATCCAGTACAACATTTTGTAAAATATGCCTCGATAATTCATATACCTAGTTCTTTCATCGGTTACTTATTATTAGATTCTTCTATCTCCATTTTTGTCCAAATTGTAATTTTAGCACTAAGATATTTTAAAATTATTTTAATCTATTCCTATTAAAAAAAATCAGTGAATATGAAAAATATATTTACTAAATTAAGTATGAATTGAATTTTTTAATGGAGATAAAAATAATTCTAAAATCACTTATGACACGAAGGAGATCATTTGAAAGGAAAATGGAGATAGAACAAATCAATAATCAGCCGAAGATTTGTCAGCAGTAAAAGTTGAACGAAAATTCCCTTGCATAAGTTAATGTCAATAAGTACTAGCATATGCCATATGGCGTAATTTCACTTCTTTTTTAAATATAGCCAGCTAAAACCTTGTTTGAATTCTAAAAGCTGTAGAATAAGTGTTTTCAATTTTATGTAATTTCCAAACTGGTTTCATATTTAGCGATATTGTTAATATTATTGTCTTGTCAGATTTTTATATTAGTAAGTCAAGTCCGGTTCTGTTAAGAGCAGTGGGTCACCGAACTCTACTACCTGATATTTTCCTTGTAATTAGACATTTTTTACTGTTGGGAAATAAATAAATAAATTAATATATTATATACCTACCACCTATTACATATCATATTTGTAATACAAACATAGTATACAGGGATATAAAGTTAATAAATTATAATTACAACAATTAACATTTTATATTTTATACGCAAAATATGTATTACATTTACCCCTATATTTCAGTATTCCTTTAATCAATTATCAACATTTTTTTGTACGTCTTTTTACAGCAATTAGATACGTCAGAGTATTGATTGACCAACATTGTGAAAACACTGAGAACAATACAAACAACTAAAGTATTCATTGTCAATTTAGTCTTAATGATAATAATTAATGAATACCATAGGTTAATGGATACACATTTGTTAGAAAATTGTTATGCCCACTTGTACCACTAGCAATATGTAGTTTTCTATTTTTTTTTGTAGGTAGTTACATTTTTGTATGTTTTAGCCACCACTACCTGAATCAAGAAGGAAAGTGATAGAAGAGGCTTTTCAAAAAATGGATAAATCTGGAGATGGAGAAATAACAATAGACGACTTGAAGAATGTATACAATGTGAAATCACATCCAAGATATATATCTGGAGAAGATTCAGAGGAGGCTATTTTGAAGAAATTTTTGGGAAATTTCGAACAAGATGCAACTAGAGATGGAATAGTAAGTAAATTAGACATAATCATTTCTTACATATTGGTGTCAAGGTACACTTGTTGACTTATTCTTTACTTTGCTCCCAGGTAACTAAAGAAGAGTTTTTCAACTATTATTCAGCCATAAGTGCCTCCATAGATAATGACTGCTACTTCGACTTGATGATGAGACAGGCCTACAAATTGTAAACTATCACTGAAGTTTTGAAGACACAAAATAATCAAGCTTTTAATAAAATAATATCACTAAAAATTGAAGTTATATTGTTATTTATTACATTTTCTATTTTGTTCAAGTGTGATTTGTAAATGTTAACTTTAAATAAGTTTTATCCACATATATTTTTTAGACTAAGGTTTTTTGTTGTGAATTTAAATAAACATTTACAGTGTTTATTTCTTGTTTCCATTCAACCATATTTTTTATTTAAATAAAACAAAAGGTTTGCTGTAACAAATTTATTTTACAAATTAAAAACAATATAAAAAATATTTCATCATCATGATAAAATATAAAATTGCACTTTAAGAAATTGCTAGTGGTTAATTTCATTCGCTTATCACAATTTAGTGTATAACAATACCTAATAAAAATACTACAAAATGGGCGTCAAAGCAAACCAAAGCAAGCCTCACTATCTTGCTAACATTATTTGTCTAGGTATCAAAAGTAATCAGATGGTACCTGGTTGACAAATAGATGGCAAGAACTGTTTAAAATACATATGCTTGCAAATATTAAAAATACCAAAAAAATACTGATTTGATGTGCAATAATACTTTTTCTAATTCCTTTTTTTTTGGAAAAATATTGACAGATTTAATTTACAATTAAAATTTATTGCAGATTAAGTTTGTTCTTAAAGAATAGTCATAGCTTGAAGACTTTAACGAAAAATTGTCTAATGTTTATAAAAATGATTGCATTCAAATTTTCATAAAGTAATGAGAAGTAATTTACATTTTTATATGTATGTATTAGGGTGCCCCAAAAAAAAACGAATATTTTTTTTCGTGTCTCTTGTGAAAATATGTTAGTTCATGTTTTAAGAGCCCCCTTAAAAAATCAGTTAAAAAAAAAATTTTTTAAGAGGTCGCTCAAGATTTTTAAAAATTTCCAAAATCGTCAAAAATTGAATTTTTTTTAAATTTTTTTTCTCGTTATTTTATCATTTTGTAAGTTGAAAAAAATGTCGAGTGAAAATTTCAAATTGATATTTTAATTTCTAAAGGTCACTCATAATTATTCTAACTTTAAAAGTAGTGTACCTACCTAAAATGTTTTCAAACGACCTCTAAAAATAAATATCAACGAACTAATAATTCTTTTTATATGAACAAAAGAATAGAAATAAATCACAAGACACTTAAAAAATTTCACGAGGCAAAATTTACTATTACACTGTACTGTGAGTATCAAATATTTATAATTTTTTTAATTTTTTAAAATTTAAATGTCTTTCTATTCTTTTGTTCATCAAATTCAATAAAAAAAATATTAGTTTCTTGATATTTTTAGGTCGCTCGAAAACATTTTAAGTACACTACTTTTAACGTTAAAATAATTATGAGTGAGTATAAAATAACGAGAAAAAAATTCAATTTTTGACGATTTAGGAGTTTTAAAAACTTGAGCATCCCTTAAAAAAAAATTTTTTTTTGAGCTGATTTTTTGAGGGGCTCTTAAAACATGATAAACCAACATATTTTCACAAGACACGAAAAAAAAATATTAATTTTTTTTTGGGCCACCCTAGTATATAAGAACTGATCAATAAATTAATCAAAAGTTTTCCACTACGTTTTCAAGTTTTAAACAAAGAATCAAGTTTAAAAAATTATAATTATTGCATCAAAATGCTAAATTTTTAAATTCTTTGGGATAAATTATGTATACATATACAAATATAGCATTTGAATAACAATAAGACAAATTAATATAAAAAATTGTCTTACACAACGAAATAAAATTAGCTGCAAATACTAAGCAGATATTACTTCCTTGATTCTGCTTTAAAAACAAACACAAATTGCATAGAATCAAAGGAAGTATCTATCTAAAAACTGCATTCAATACAAATTATATACATTGCCTCACTAAACTTTAATGAGATTATATGTAACAAATTAACGAAAAAGAAGTTTCTATAAAATGTACCCGAAAATGTCAAATTTTTTTTGGATACAGTTCAAAAAATTATTAAAAGCATAATTTATGTCAAGTTCCAAAAATCAATTGGACAGTATGTAACAGTCCATTCATAAATAACGTGATTTATCTAAAAAATAATTTAATATTTTGATACTTGTCAAAATTATCCAGACATGTCTAACAAATTTATCTCAAAGAGATTATTGTAGCAATAAACACTCTTTATTAGTACTAACTCTGTTATAATAGCGACTCAAATTTGAAATGGCTTGGAAAAAAAGATTGGGAGCAGAAATTAGTATGACAGCCCTGGAATTAGATAAGTAAACAAACTTGTACGAGGTTTGATCAAAAAGTAACAGAAATTTTCAAATTGCGTGTGTTGTATCTTCTCTATTTAGTTGATTCTTTTTTATGTATTGGCAGCACTGTCAATGATGTAATTGTCAATTTTGAGGCAGCTGCCACACTTAGTTTGTGTTTAGCGAGCCACTTACTCGTGTTTTTAGCGATTTTTTGTGTGGCGCAATTTTGGATCAGAAAGATTGTCTGATATTTTGCGATAAAATCGGAATTAAGTACAGAGAAGTGTTCAAAATGTTAAAAAAGGGCTTTGGCGACAATACTATGTCATAGCTATGACCCATAAGTTAACAAATGTTTTCAGGAAAGCCAATAAAACTACTGTACCGGATCGTACAGTTAACAAGGAATACTAACTACAAGTTTTGCGCAATTTGGGTAAGTCAATCAGGAGAAAACGACAAGAACATGAGAGACAACTCTTGGATTTTGCTCGATGGCACCGCACCAGCGCATACTGCTCTACTTATCCAACACCATTGTGATGCTTCAACCATCCTATTCCCCGAACATGACCCACATGACTTTTTCCTATTTGCCAATCTCAAAAGGATGAGATAAAGGCAAAATAGCAAACCGTACCCAAGACAATACCTAAAGAGGTGTTCCACCAGTGTCTTTCAAACTAAAACCTATGTTATGTGTATAATATCACACGAGGACTACTTTGAAGGGGATGGGATAAAAATCAAAGATTAATAAAATACTGTCTAAGAAAATTAACAATTCCCGTTACTTTTTGATCAAACCTCGTATGATGTTGACTTTTTTAAACTTAAACCCTTTGTATCTCGAAGCTTATGCCGACACAGGTTTATAGGAAATTTTTTAGTTGAAGTGAAACCTGCTATTAAAGTCCAGCCAAGCATTTTAGTGCACCCCCTAAATCTACCTAAAAAATTCGTAGGCAATAACTCTTAAGAGCTAACGATTTTGTAATTCAATCATCATATTATATCACATTGGCGGCTAATGCCATAAAAGTACATTGGTTCTCGTTTACTTAGGTATCCTAGTATTGCAGTTACCATGCAAGACAACAGTATCGTGATCACATTTGGCGTAATAGTCGAAGATATTTCTGTACCCGTGATCCCGCCACCAAGTACAGAGTTGTCTGTTGAACCCACAATTTAAGGTTTGGATTAAGTGGGGGTATTCGTACCCTAGCAGGGTATAAAAGTCTTGGTCACCCAAATGGCCTCTGAATCTATATTTGGAGGTCATCTGCTTTACTGTCGTATTAGTTATAACTTTGGGAAACTCGGTGGAGTTCCTTTGTGCTTTGAGATTCAGTAAGACCACTCCAGAGTTGTAGCCCTGGAAACCCCGTGGATGGGTTGCATTGGATATGTTTTGTTGGTGGTAGTACTCGCCGAAGGTTGTGTTGTGCTTTGCTTTATACATGTGCAGGACGTGACGGTACACCGGGGTTAGCTCGGGAGCTAAGCCAAATAAAGCGGTTGGTTTGAACCTAAAAAACAATTTAAAAATGCCTCAATAGTACCGATACGTCAAAGCTACAGGATTTCAAATTCTTTTAGTAAAAGAAATCTACGAAGTATATCTTAGGAATTAGAGATATTTTTAAATAGGCGTGTGAAGTTAGAGACCATGTTAAGCTTTTGATTGAAGCTGCAAATGTTCAATCTAATGAATAGACCTTTTACGCCTCTCATAACTATTAAGGGATTGACTTCGAGTTTTGCTATCTGTTTCTATATACAATTTTATATTTGATTTGTTCCTTTTATATTAATCAAATCATAGTAACTAATTACCTAACAAATAACCTATTGTATAAAAAATATACAGGGATGGCCAGAAGTACGGAATAAAATTCATATCTTTTGAATGAGTAAATTTTTTTTAAAACGCCGGAACACGTTAACTGATTTTGAATTTTTCCCATCTTTCGGTTATATAATAATTAAGTTTTCTTCAACCCCCTAACCACCCCCAGCTACCCCTACTTTTTTTTTCAAATGGAAACATAAGGCATGAGGAGGCTCGTTAAAAAGCTTATAGAAAACCGAATCCAGCCATACCAAATAAACAAGTTTTATTTTTTCAATAACAAAGTTTTTTTTCATTTAGAAATTGAAACAACTAGATAATTTACAAAAATAAACTCAATGTCGCAAATGCTGAAAATGTCCTCCATTCACTATTTGGCATTCTCCAAGACGATAGTAAAAGCTGTCTACAGCATTCTGAATGACTTCAGCTGGTAAATTATGAATCACCGCCCTAATCTTGTTCTTTAAATTCTCAATATTATCCGGTCTGTCCTGGTAGACTATTTCTTTCAAATATCCCCAAAAAAAATAATCCAGGGATGTTAAGTCGGGGGATCTTGGCGGCCATTCAACTGTACCCCGTCTACCAATCCAGCGATTTGGAAACATTTCATCTAAGTATCTTCGAACATCAATACCAAAATGTGGGGGAGCGCCATCTTATTGGAACCAAATTCTTTCATTCGGTATATCTGGATCAATTTCATGAGGGAAAATCACAGCTAGAGCACATTTTCTTCAAAAAAGAATGGGCCCAAGATTCTGTTGTTGATGATACATGCCCATACATTAACTTTTTGTGGATGCTGCGTATGCGATTTGCATGTCCAGTGTGGATTTTCCTGGGACCAAAAGCGATAGTTGTGCCTGTTAACCACTCCATTTAAATAAAATGTAGCTTCATCCGAAAAAAGTACGTCTCGTTGAAAACCATTAATGTCGTTACACCGTCTCATCATTTCCTCACAAAATTGTACTCGCCTATCATAATCGTCATTGCGGGCCAATGAACCAGTTGAAGTATGAGGATTTTCAACAAGTTTTAATGCAATGTCTAATTTCTTTTCTTCATTCAAAGCACGTGCCCGTCCAGTTTTGGGCAAAGTCTGTACTGTACCGTGTTCCTCAAATTTGTGAAATATTTTACTAACTGACCCTTGCGAGATTTGGTTTTCGGTATATTTCGCATTAAATAAATCACGCACTTCGACCTGACTTCTTATTTTGTCTCCACATCCAAGCAATATCAAGATTTGGATGTGTTGCCTTTCCGACAAAACCATTGCAATTCAGTAAATAACGTGATTTTGACACAAAACAGTAACGTTTCGAACTCCAATTTACAACTAAAGCGAAAAATTAACCAGAAAGCCTGGCAAGTAAGTGGTGCCAAAAAAACGCAACATAAAAAATATATCTTTTTTGCGTTAGCAGTGATAGGTACAGTTTCAAAATCTTTATTTTATTCTGTGCAAATTCATGGAGGACAACACTGAAGATAATTAAATTTTATTTCACTTGTTAAGTAGGTGTTTTATACAACCCGAAAAACCTTGCTATTGAAAAAATAAAACTTGTTTATTTAGTATGGCTGGATTCGGTTTTCTATAAGCTTTTCAACGAGCCCCCTCATGCCTTGTTTCCATTTAAAAAAAAAGTAGGGGTTAGCTGGGGGTTAGGGGGTTGAAGAAAAATTAAGTATTATATAACCGAAAGATGGGAAAAAATCAAAATCAGTTAACGTGTTTCGGCATTTTAAAAAAAAGTAACTCGTTCAAAAGATATGAATTTTATTCCGTACTTCTGGCCATCCCTGTATAGTTATTCAATTTCATGACCCTTTTGTATCCCCTGCCATGGTATCATTAATAAATAAATGCAAGTTACTACAATTCCTGTTCCAATATAATTTTTATTGGCATATTTTTTTACTCATAAATTAGGTATGGTTACGAGTGATTACAGATAATTTATTAGTTGATTTATTGTCACTTGCTACTTGCTATTTATCATGGATATCAATAAACATAAATTATGCAACAGAAGTGAAAATTAAAAGCCCCTTATTTATTACTGATAACTGTCAATGTCAATAATGAAATAAGGTATCAATTTTCACTCAAGATACCAAAATTAGTTTTAAACATTGAAGATTGAAGCCTATATTTTTAAATGATTAATGTATTTTATAACCATACAAACATATTTTCAAATTAGCTAAATTGGCTAAATTTGAGTAATGACTATTTTGCAACAACCCACTTTGTGTAGGATTTGTCAATTATATAATTACATCTACTACCTACTTAGAGTTTTTCTGAGAAATTTGTATCTTCAAGTACTTACAAGGTATATTATAAGCTCATAGAAGAATACTTACTTATCAAACTCATTAAATAATAGTGCCACATCTTTCTTAAAATATAAATCACAATCTAGTAGTATTGCTATGTCTTGATTATGTGGAGCAATTCTATACAGGCCTAAGGAAATATAGAACAAGGCATCACTGTAATAAGTACCTAGAATAAATCGAACAATTAATAATATGAAGTATAGAACTCTAATGAAAGAATTACCAGGTTTAGAGCTAAAATATGGTGTCATAACTTGTACGATATCCTGTATTTTCTTAGCACACTCTTCGATGTCATAAAAAGAATAAACCAATGACTTATTCATGTAGAATACAACATCGGATATCTGACTTTCTGCTATCCGTTGAGACACTTTATCCACAATAATATTAAATTTTAAAGGCACAGAAGTAACATTTAATAAATTATGTATCAAATCACGGAATTTAAAGCGCAGAGTAGATATATTGGTTACCTTTGTGAATATCAACCAAATATTGTATTCCTTTTGCTTTTTCAAGGCAGTCGATATGAATTTAACATGCTTGATATCCTTTCTTGCATTCTTCTTCAATCTTTGATTAATACTGTTGTGCGTTAAAAACGCGTAATAAAACAGAAGACACAGCCCTATTAAGATACAAATATTTAACAAAACATTAGTCCTTATCTTGAACATTACTACTGCACATTTTCAGAGCAACTGATTATTCCTCGTCGTCGCGCCGTGCCGGACACTGAACTGAAAGTATGTTCTATTGTTTAAAACAGTAAACACATTTTTTATGACCAAATGTAACAACAGAACCAGATCTACAAGAAAGGTTAACTTTACGACTTACGACAACCTGTTTAATGTTTTATGTAAATAAATATAGGAGTGTGACCAACCCAATAACTTGAAACTTTACTGTCTGCCGGCTGCCCGGGATCTAGACAAAAGGAATAAATTAGGACTGCCAAGTGCCAAGTGTAGGTGGATATTTGAATTTGAATGTAATTCTTTGTCGGGTTTGGGCCATTTTGCTGTAGGCGTAGATTTTATAATAGGCTTGCCATACTTCATAAAACTCGAGCCTATTGGCCCTACATTTTAGATGTTCTATCTCAGAGTTGCCAGATTGATTTTTACAATTCCCCCAACCACAGGAGTAAATTCCCCCAGAAACTGACATTTTTCAAATAAAATCCCCCAAAGTTTTCGAAATATATCTTTATTTATTAAAATTAATATAAATATCATACAAATATATGTAATGTATTGCATTACGTACTTAAATTGCAGTTTCTGAAAATATTTCTAAAACATTTACATCATTATTTTTTCTTTCATACATTTTAGCGTGCGTGCTAGAGTGAGATAGCATGTACTGAGGTACTGTATGTCTCTCTTGCAAACTCAGTCACACTTTTCGCAATGGCATGCTATCTCCTGTAGTATATGCTCGAAGATACTAAACTACTGTAGGTATATTGAAGTACTTCTCGGTTATAATTATGAATTATGTGATATACTTACCAATACCAATATTACCTTACCATATACATTTTACTCCAAAAGATATTCAAATAAATAATTCAACCCCAAAAATCCCCCCAAACAATGTTTACCCCCAAAAATACCCCCAAGCAAAGAAAAAAAATCCAAATTTGGGGAGAAAACCCCCAATCTGGCAACACTGTTCTATCTAAACAATAAGTAGGTAGATGCCTTGTGCCCGGGCGCAATTATTTACTGATTTACTGTTCATTATGCTCTTCCAAGATAATTTCTTATTCAGAAAACAAACCTAGGTATGGTAGGGCTGTATTTATTATTTATTTATTACTTTAAGTATTTCTTACTGATATGGTAACATACTATGATATATGATCTATTTGACAAACCTAGACCTAGACGTATTTCCTTAGTTCCGTCATATATTTTATTTTTCAATTATGAGAGCATTTTGTGACTGCGAAATATATTCAGTCACGACGAAACGAAGTCAAAAATTAAAATATGTTTTACAGTTTTCTATAAGCCATACAATTTTAATGGTTAAGTTTGATACTGGCTCCATCTGGACTAGAAGCTCCAAACATTCATATTTGTTGTTCTCTTTGGTGCGTATCTCTACTAATGACATTTAAATAAATGGCTACCAAAGAAATAATTTCACAAAAATCTAGACATTGCTGGTAATACTGCATAATTCAGTCTAATATTTTGCAGGTCAGTTCCTCAAATCTGTACGAAGGAGATGTAAAATTATAATAAAGATCTATGACATAAAATTTCAATTTGTTATTATACTTTATTTATCCATAACTTCAATAATACAAATTATTTTGCAATAAAAAAATATGTCAACTCCTAGCTCAATACCTTATCTATATAGGCCACATATAATTTTCTCAGAAAATAGTGTAGTTTTTGAAAAGACTATGCTTGGGTCAAGGTCTGTTTTCAGAAAATATCTTTTTTCCCCTCTTAAAACTTAAATAATTTTACTCAAAATTAGAGATCCAAAGCCTTCACCAGCTTCACCTTCACAAAGTGTAACATTTCCAAATGGTCAAATCAAATTACCTAATACGTGTAATGTGTTTCACAGATGTGTTTTAAACGTGATAATAAGCAAATATCAAGTTACCAAAGTTGAATGAACGGCACAGAAAATTTGCAAACAGAGCATTTTTACAGAGCATTGATACAAAATACAAATTAGATTACATACCACATGTAGGAAATTCGCAACATCGTATTTTATTTTGCGAGTACTGTAAGACTTGAATGTGATCTAGCATGAACAAAGTTTTTGATTTTGGTAATTAGAATTCTAAATATCATTTATTTTATAAAAGATCTACAGACACAAGTAGTAAAAGAAAGTACGTAAATAAATATAAAAAATCCATTTTCCAAAATAGTGAAAGCTACGGTACAAATTGTATTTTGATTTCAATCTCGATTCCAACTCAGATTACATTTTGGACATTTTGGAAGGCAGCGCCATCTAAAGTTATATTTATTAAGCATTTGTTTCCTTTTACAGAATTCTGTCGTACTTAACTTTTAAGAGTGGTAATTCGCTAGGCGATGGCAGAAGCGATGAATCGAAATGGAAACTGTAATTGAAAATTTAACAAGCATAAGAAATTCAAGAGGTTCAAGGGTAGACAACAAAATAATTAAAGTATTAATTAATAACATTACAAACATTGAAATATCATAAAATAATTATTGACTCAATTAACTATATGGGGCGGATATTGCAGGGTAAATGTGCAATTTAGCCTGTTATGTTTTATGTTGCTGAATATGGTCTTGGAATGTAAGTAGTATATATCTACCTAGGTAAGTATAATTAAAATTTTACAAAGCGGTTTTTTTACTTTTGAGAACAGAAGATGTTGGATAATTTGGCCACCACAGCGAAGTACAAATTTTTCTACACATCTAATTAAAACCAATACTGATGCTTTTTTAAAAATAGCTAGGTATATTTTGCTTGTTGTTTGTTGATAGATATTAATCAGATTTAAAATCTCTCTCAGACTAATATCTAGCAGAAAGCCACGAGACAAAAAAAGCGTTCTGTGATTTAAATAAATGACTCCAAAATTAATTTTGAATCATGGTGCTTTAGAATTTTTTCGCATTAAGCGAACATATCGTGATTTTTGTTTGAAACTATTTTATTTTATTTCAATTTTTAAACTTAAAAAGCGCCTACCTGAACAGAATAATGACATGCGACTTTTCTTTCACTGCATTTTTTTTATTATGACTGTCACATGATATAGTTTACTCTTTGTTTTCGTCAAATTATCAAATTATTCTTTTTAAAAAGAGTATTTTGAAAACAACTCATCAAATTATTAAATTAAAGGAAATGTTGATAGTTCGCAGGTAAATTTCATTGATAATGCCGTAGTTCAGATACCTATTTAAAAAATGTAATTTTCACAAAAAACAAAACCATATTTTCTTCAAATCAGTTAATAAGTTCGAAATATATCTCGACTTTTTCTCTTTGACTGATCTTGTATCTTTTAAATTAACCGACATCTTAGTGGCATAATGTAATAATTTAGTAACATATATACCTACTAAAATAAAATTAATTACTGAAAAAAATACAATAAGTATATTAAAAAATTAAAAAGCTAACAGAACAATGTTCAGTTAGAAATGAAACTAGATAAATTATTTTTAATATTATTTCAACTAGAGGTACTTAATATAATAAAAGATCCAAAGCTCAAAATTATCTTTAAAGTTATAGTAACTTTTATTTTTAAAATAGTACCTACTTTCAGGTTTGTAGGTATACCTACCTCGGTTCATATAATTAAAGTTGCTCAAATTTTTTGGTATTTTCATGGAGAACTTTCCAAAGTTCTTATTGTCGAAAAACTTCTTATTTATATGCATTGTTCACCGACTGTATTCTCCAGAAAAGTGAAAATGTAAAAAATACAGCCAAAATGCAGTTTGGTAACAGCTATTGAACATTTTAACAATTTTTAGTTCGCCTCGTTTTTCTATTAGACACCTGGGGTGCTTCGTATATGCAACGAAATTTATGAAACACCCTGTACGTCAAATAAAACACATTTATATGCCTTTTCAAAGACGAGATGTTTACGAAAGCTAATTAGTGATGTGTGTGTTGTAACAATCTATAAGAATATTGAATAAAAGGCTTAAAATAAAAACGAAAGTGGTAATACTTATAAATATTGTAAAAGTTATTTATCTAGAAAATATATATTTATTTATAACAGGACGTGCGCCTAGAAAACGTTCGATAAAGAACAGAAAGAAAACCTGGAGAACGATGAGCCGTGATTTGCCATCGACATTCAATCAACAGGTGGTTATTGTTTTATTGTAAGGTAGAGACGAAGTGTTGGGATAAGAATACAAAAATTTCAAAAATCCGTCGTAAGCTAGGTACACACACACATACACAACCAACAATAACCCAGACGTATTGCGAAAGTGATGCAGGCAGGTCTCATATGTCGAAGACTTTCTACTTACACGACCGACTGTAAGTGAAGGGAAAATACACCTCAGAATTTATAAATATAGGTTTGACTTGATTGCAGATTCTAGTGAATTGAAAGAACTCAGTGCACACGGATCATCATCCCTGCTGGAAAAATGAAATTTAACTTAGTGTAAGTCCTCTTTTTTTTTATTAGATCTAACCTTAATAAGCGTTTCGCGGATCTAGTAGGTATTTGAGCAACTTAGCCGCGGGCTATTCCATTGTTTTCACTTTCGTTTGTGTGGGAATGTGGCTGTCGCGTGGATTTTTAAAAAATATCTTGTATCTAGGATCCAGCGGCCTCATAGCAACGTCTTCGCGGCGAAGATGTTTTTTACATAATTATTTATTATAGCTACGATGATAAATATCAACTTTCTTACGTAAGCAATGTGAAATCGGGTTTTATTCGTCTACGTATAGAAAATTAATATTAACAATTTAAATATTGTAATTATCGGATAACTGTACCTGCATACTTCATTATTATGCGACAGAGTTTCTTAAACGATTACTAAGTGATATAAAATGAGCGAATAACGCTGCAAGCTTTTTCTTCGTTATGCATTAATTTATCTTATTTACACTATTGTTTAGAAAAAAAAACATATTCATTACTAATACAACTAGACAAACGGTAGATCTTTTTTCAAATTCCCAGGCAACTCTATTTAAGATATACAAGGTGTCCCAGAAATAAGTGTTAACATTTTAACCATACATTTAGCTCATCAAGAGCAACTTTTGTTTCGAAAACCTCACGGTTTGTAAGTTTCTATAATTTTTTAAAATATTGCAATTTTGTTAATAAAAGTTGAGTAATGATCAACAAAAATGCACAAAAAATGGAATGTCGGTACTTAGTATTTAGATTAACAAAGAATATTAGGAAAGTACGAGACTTCATTTTAATGAATACAAAATATGGAACAAAAATGTGAATTTTCTAAAATAATGTTAAATAAAAGTTGTTTGATTTAATGCTCACTTGTTTCTGGGACCCCTTGTATATTAAAATTAACTTTTATTTGTCATTTACACATTTTTTTTTACTTTACTACTTCAACTCTTAGATTGTCAGTTCTCAAGAAATCTTTACTTTTTGGAAACAAGTGAAATCAGCTGGAGAACCAACATAAAAGTAGAATTATGTTTTCAAAACATTTCCTAGGCATTTGGCTGATTAGATTATGTCTTGATATGGATTTTTAATATTTAAATATAATTTATTATAATAAATTTTTGACATAGTCACATTTATTTCGTTATCAATTTATCGTTAAGAAAGCTTCTTGATTGTTGTACTTGGATAAATCTCGGAGTTTTTATTTATTTTAAATGAAACTTTTTTTTCAGTGTGAACTTTAATAATTCAATATTTGTTTATTTTAACCATTTTGTTAGTATCATTTTCGAGGAAAAGAGCATACAATAGATTTTCTTTTATTTGAGAATACAAAACATATTTCTTACGTAAAATTGCAGTCGCCCTTAACCTTCCTCAAACACAGACCTTGCGCGTACCAAAAGTTTTTACAATTTTTTAATTTATGAAACTAATTTCCGATTAACGTTAGTTACAAATAATGAAGAATGTGATACGTAAGGTTTCTAATAACGTCACTTGTAATCTAACCTTAATCACGTTGATTTCATATACACGGTTCTAAATTACAATGTAAGAAAAACTTTCTAAATTTGCCAGAAACAGTCCTTGCGGGACCCAGCTTCTAGATTGTATGATATTTTAAATAAATAATTGCATAATTTGCCTCGAAATTAATTATGCAAATTTATGGCAACTGCGATTTTTATAACTACAGAATAGGCTGCCAAATTTAAATAACAACAATAACAGACTGCTACATATGGCTTGATATATGTTTGATTGCTGTTAAAACCTCAATATTTATTGAAAAAAAAAAAAATAAATGTGTCGGTTTCGGCGTTGAGGACAAATCAAGTAAACATGACTGCATTTTCGCACGCTGTTCACAGCGCATGAAATAAAAGTGAAATTTTCATTTATTTTTAACAGCCACTCATAAAAAGTCCTTTTGCAATAAGTACATCGTTCTATAATCGTTCCTAAAAGCCAGCAATTTCGAGCTAAACTTTCCTCACAGCATTTGTCAACCTAGCAATTTGAATATCGCATAACTCTTCCTTATTTTTCTGGCGGAGATATGCATCTATGTAGGTAGGATTTGTTTTGGTATGCATCAAGATATGTAGGTATTGGTGTTTTAAACTTTCTATAAGCGATTGCCAGCCAGACCGTGGCGCCAGACACATAAAATTTTTGTCGTAAAAGTTATACGAGGCGTTCAATATCGAAATATCCGAAAATATCTTCCATATCGTTTACTGTATGTATATTGGACCTACACTCCAATCAAATATTTCTTTATTTGCAGTCAGCAGATTAAAGATAAACTTCATCAAAAGTTCACTGATATCTTTGGAAACTGAAATGAAAAAACTTCCATAAACCATAAATATTAAAGCAGTTAATTTGCAGTCGTAAAAAGAAGAATTTACAATATTTCACCATTCTTTATGTCGAAGTAACATACAGTATTTTGAAGTAGATCCTGTTTCTCTAATGATCTATAAACATATCGTTTATTAACCTTTCGAAGCCAGCACAAAAAGTTACCTACCTTAAAAGTGACTTGTCTTTGTCGAAATGTATGAATAAAATTGTTTTATAATGTGTAATACTATCGATGATTTTATAGGCCAATAAAAATAATGTTCGCTGTAGGAATCCTATCGAAACGATGTTAGATACTTTGTTAGGAGGTTCACTGAAATAGATCAAAATAACATTAGATATATTGCATCTTTATCTCGAATGAATAAAATGTACTCTAGTTCTTAGTTTAGTTTAATTCAATGATTAATTATTAATTAAAATTATTTTGTATAGTATTGATTTGAATATATGACATGTATATAGCAATATGAGAATTGTGTAAATGTTCCTTCCGATAAACAGTTCTTTCACGGAGAAACATTATTAAAGGATACTTCACAGAAAGATTTATCCGTATCCCTGTTTTGCCTGTTTTGATCACGGTGTGTGAAAGTATAAAGTGATAGAAATACGTGTTAGAAATATAGAACGATTTACATAAACTCGTAAACTAAACTTCATAGCACAACTAAGAACAAAAGATGGTTGTTAATCAGAATTATGAACCCGTAAACATCAACATTAACACAAAGAGCTCTATTGCAGATAACAATAAAGTGTGACAAAATTGGTAACAACTTCTAAGTACCTTGTAACAAGAGAACAAACATGTGAAGGCGTGAAGGTAAATGAACCAAAAGAAGCGGGGCTACTGGGATATTTCCTCTACCAGTGACACATAATTCTAACAATAAGATATCGAATAAATAGTTACAATAATTTTATCTGCAGTGGATACATGTATTTATAAAAATTGATTGTTGTTTTGCAAACAAGAGATAATATAAACAGTGTTCATGGATAGGTGAAACAACTTTTGTAAGATACAAAAAAGTTAATAACAGTTAATAATGATCTTAGCTGTTCATGAGATATTACGGATGTAATTCAAGTTTGGACGGAACTGTAGTTCACAGGGTAGTTGTCTCCCACAATATCGTTAGTTAAAAAATTAATGTTTGTTGACGTATAATCTTTTGGGAATCAGCTTTCGTTTCTTGTGTATCAAAATACACAATACACAAAATATAAATAATATTTAGGTACTTATCTGAGTTATTAAAGTTTATTTCTTGCACTAGAACATTACAATAGGAACATTTATTACACGTTTATCTAGTTTTCGTTCTGAATATTTTTTTAGTAAAATTTTATTGTAACACATCGAAAGTAAAAAAAAAATGAAATATCTAAAATTCCGAGGCTTAGTGGATTTTACGGATTACGAATTTTGGCACACACGAACAAGCAGAACTGAGTCTCAGGAGGCCATATTTCAACATTGACTTTGTTTGTCCCACATTTTTTTGGCCATACTTTCCGTGTTGTTGGAAATTAATACATTAAAGTTTATATTTAATGTAATCCTGAAAAAATACTGTAACAGAATGTGTAAAATATACAGGATGTTGCTTAAAAAACAAAGTTGCTATCTAACCCCTGCGACGTAATCCTCAATTGTTTTTTTTTTAACAAAAGGGATGAACATCTGACGAAAAATTAATCACAAGTAAAAAATGCTAAAAATGTATATAAATTTAGTACTGTGTCACAAGTTACCAACAAATTATATTTAAAAAGCTGTATATAAATATGCTAAATAAATACTAAAAAAATCACAAAATTTCATAAATTTACTACGAAAATTTCTATATATTGTAGTTTTTCCTACATTGAAAATTTTTTAGATAATAAATAAACAGTAGTAACCTATATTATGCTAGTAAGCAGCAATACTCGTTGTAGTAACAGAAAACAGGTTAAATCTGTGGTCAAGCCCTGTGGCGCTCTATGCTTACTGTACACAATGCTACTGATTGTCATAAAAACATGTACCATACACTTGACCAAGCAAAGTGTGAAACTCACCAACAAGGCATGTCGCTAGATACGTATCGAATAAATTGATCGATGAGAAGCTTCAGATCAGAGGCGGATATGTACATGTTATTATACAATAACGCGGATAGTGGGATTACTTAAATGTGAAGTAGTTGATGCTTGGTCCCATTAGTAAACATCTAGATCTCTAAATATCACATATCACTAACATTTTACTCCTAGCAAAGGCCAACAAATAAGAAATTTTGACACCGTATCTTCCAGTTTGACAAGTCATCTATCATCGATCATTTATTGTAGTTTGTTCTGTACGATTTTTCACAACCGTACCAAGATGATCATTGAACACGTCTGAATATGCGACAGAGTTAAAGCTAGCTAGAATTAATGTAATACAATAAAAGCGTAAAAGCAACAGGGGTAACAAAGAACTTTTACCGCACATGTCAAGGTCAGATCCCGATGTTTTTTGAACTTTTTTATAAACAACTGTTTTTTTACATATTCACACTCTGACCATCTGATTAGTTAATCAAGACAACCGGTATTCAAAACATTGGCCTCAACACTGTACGATTTCTGTAACAGTT